TACACCTTTGTCGCACTCTGACGGGACGCCTTTGAAATAACAGTGTAGGCCTACACCCCACAACTGGTTTCGAGTTCGTGTACAACTGAGTGAAAGACGAAAAAACTAAGTTCATATTCGGAATCAACGTTCAACATTAGTTCTGCGATTTTCTTGCTAATATGCCTCTGTTATAAAGCCATTCTTATGCCCTAAGGCTGTACATGGAATTGTCTGGAAGTAGAAGTTTCGCTGTTTCTTAATCATTCTCTATGGTCTGAAATTTTATTTTACCATGCAGCACGGGTAGGTTAGCCTGGGCGAAAAAAAATAATAATTTTGGAACGGCGTGAAATTTGAAAGAACATGAGAAATGACGAATTTTGGTGCAAACGCGAACGTCCTGCGATGTCGGGAAGTGTTCGCACCTCGCGGTCAAAGATTTCGACCCGATTGTTGAGCTAGGTGAGCGATATTTACAGGAAGTGTTCTCTATGACAGCGGGTAGAAACTCCCGCCACTGGGCTGATGCCATCATCGTCTGGGCTACTGCAAACGTTATAACAAACGAACAGGAGGGTCTTCAGCACTGAAACCTTTTGTATCACACTCGTAATTTATGTCTACGTGGCTTAGGAGGTGTGTCGCAGCTTTACTTTGTTTGGTAACAACAAAACTTTAGGAAGAACGGACACGACCGCTTAAATTGGTGCTAAATTTCTCATACCACCCATATTTTACTATCGTTTAATTTGCGAGTTTGCGAAAGAGTAAAGGTATGACCACCCTCCTAAGCCACGAAGACAATGATTACGAGTACGAGAGAGAAGGTTTCAGAGCTAAAGACCCTCCCGTTCGTTTGTTATAACGTTTGCAAAATACGGCTCCGCGGAGCTCGCTCGATGATGGTATCAGCCGAACAGTGGGAGTTTCTACGGGCTGTCTAGGATGAGCGCTTTACAACGGTGTTTCGCGGAACTTCAGGTGACATGTCGTTCGCCCTACAGATCGACGGACGTCCGCCAAAGCGCGCTTAGGCCCTACAAAATTTTGGTTCACCTTTTTGACAGGTTTGTTTCGCATATTGCTTGGTAAAATGTCCTCTAGCGCCTCAACTCCGGAAATGGTATGAGAAGTTCATCGCCCGGAAGAGGCGCGTATCCCGATTTTGATCAATTTACGCATAGAGAACCCTTGAGTTCGGTGTTTAAAATGCATTTCGAGTAATTTTACACTACGGCAATGCTACATGTGTGATAAGGGAGCGTGGGGTCCCATGAGCCTGGGGGTCCCATGAGCCTGGCCCGATATCTC